GCATTGTCTAAAGCACTTTAGACAAATCATACGGGCCAAATTCATGACAGTCTTGATTCATATCTACTTCCAACATATGACTGACTATGGATGGTTTGAATAGTATGATATATACCATAACATAATTATTCTGGAAGTCAAAACATGCAAAGTGAAACACAAGAATAATACTTAATCCTATATGGCCCCAACACCTGGGTGTAAATAAAACAACTTTTATCTAAGCACCATATTGATTACTCATTATTTATGTTTCAATTAATCAACTTTATGCTTGAATTAAAACATTAGTTGTCCCATGCTCCAAGCACGTACACTATGTTTTTTTTCAAACAACAATTATGCCATACTCCAAGTATGCATACTATGTTTACATATGGTCCTCTCTTTGTGAAATAGATCAATTGTCAATATTCCAATGATGCTCATTTCACAATTCCAATCCTTGTTGTAAATGCAGGAATACCAAACTCTTTCCATTTACTGTAATCTGTTAGATTCTAAATTTATATGCAATGATCCCCTTGTAATGACTATGCACAGAAGTCACAAAGACTTGGCAACATACATTACAAAGCATTCCAATGGAAAACAATTCCATGGAAATGAAGTCTCAAATTCAAAGTACATTCCTTTGAACATCCTTCTTAGCATTAAGTTCTTTAATCTTACACAGATTTAAAGAATAACTTCCACCTATGGAGACAATTCCATATTACCATTTTGACCAGCACTTCTGAACAAGAGTTACCGCTTTTCAAAATACATCAATATGGTCCTTACTCTATACTTCTAATTGTCCATGAGCAACCAATCTTTGGTAAACCTCAGATTGTCCTCGATAATTTTGCTTAATCATTTTAGTCATTTCCAGTTCTATTCCTTTTTCCATCTTAATGCCCTAGGCATTTGGAAAATTTAGAATGGATGAATATTATAGCATATTCAATCGATCCTATATCCGAAGCATATGGGACACGATTCATGTTATAAAATTTTTATTTGTCATGTTCTCACAATTCGAACTATGAAGAGGTATGCCGTAATCATAATCGAATTTTAAGATCGCAACATATATAGAATTTCCTTATGTTGAACCATTCCAGCATAACATTCATATATATTCTTGACTAAAGTAGATTAAAATATCAATCTAAGCTTGTAGAATTGGAGTGAAGTATAAAATCCTCTCCCTTAATTATAGCAAAACAACTTTTCAAAGCAAATTGAAACTTTTGTTTTCTATAATTAATATTGCTAACTTGCAACACTTAACATAATCACCATGCTCCCACTAGCATAATGATTACCAGCATAACACTTTGTGCTCCCACTAGCTTTGACATGTACTCAGAAATCAGCTGGACTTCTAGAAATCAATACTTTATTGACTTTCTTACCAAAGTTCATATTTCTGATACTAGATTGCTTTGATAAGACTTTATCAAAAATATACACCTTTCCTTAGATAGCTCACATGTTTGTCTAGACCTTTTGCAATTCTCACTAGTTAGTGTGCCGGTTAACCACACACGCTCCACTAACTATATGAGAATGCAAATATCACAACCGCTATCTACTTAAAATCTTCTTAGTGGAAGCGTTTCCTTACCATCATTATCATGAATCGAAGAGAAACCTTATGACACTTAGATTTTATGGTGTATGTGTTCTTTTCCATGTGAATTTTGTCAAAACCATAATCACATGACTAGGTTAGTGACATTTCCAAATTCATATGGACTGAACTTGTGCAATCTTAATTTCTTGCCACCCGGCAGCACAAGGGCCTACCATTGCTTCCAGGTTGTTATGCAAACAGTCGAGAACTCTCAGAACTCCAATGCAAAACCAACCTTAACTGGGATGAGCACAGAATATGTCAACACGATAGGTTACAAACCTCAAGTCGTGGGCTAGTGATTAACAAAACTCTTGATTAGTTCTTGAAACTATTTTAGAATCTTTTAGACTCCCACTGTCCTCTTGACATATAAGACTTATCTTTGTCAAGAACCATTCATTGACAATACAAATATTCAAGAGCTAGTGCGGATTCTTATCAAGTTAAACACTTCCCATAATTGGACTTAGTTGGTCTTTGTTTTATCCAAAACATCACAACTAACCAATTGTTGTGATACTATACATGACGTCCTCCAGATGTAAATATTTTATTTATTCAATGTAATGGTTGTGTTTGCTTTGATTACTATTATACAGTTGTTGTGATACTATACATGACGTCCTCCACCCCCGAATGTATTCGCCGTTCCGGTTTAGGGGTGTGACAAACCCAAGCTCAATCGAAGGGGTGTCATCATTCGTGAGGTTCCAGTTGTTGTTTCTCTTGCTTCAAAGAAATGTAGAGCACATGCAATGATGAAAAAGATTAAGAAGAAGAAGAAGCAGTTGGAAGATCCTCTTTATGAGGTTGTTATGGAAATCGATTTTGAGAATGGAAGTGATCGTTCTCCTATTCAAAATGAAGATATTGACTTTGCATCACCATAAAGGGACTCTCTAGTTAATTCAAATTTTGAGGAGACTGGAAGTCTTCGTGGCTCTGCGAAAGTATCTAATACAAACACAACCACTAATTTGTGTGATCCTACAACATCTACAATCCCTAAGAAGAGAGTAGTCATACCACCTAAGGTCTCGATGGCTAAATCCATTACGGAGGAGGTTTGTGTAACGCCCATGTTTCTAGGCTTGCCATTTTTAGCAATGTAATAGTCTAGGTTAACCTTGTAACTCAACTTGAAATAATAAGAATGTATTATTTGTGAATTATTTGAATTATGTGATTTATGTGTGTATTTTCTTAATTTTTATAATTTAATGAATTAAGAATAAAATAAGCGTCAAAATTTAAGTGTGAGATAAGCCCGACATCTTTGCATAAAGTTGTAGTGGTCGAAACAAGGATTCCGGAGATATAAGGAATGCCAAAATCTGAGTTATAACGAAGAAGTTATGACCTGTCGAAGTTTCGAGACAAAACCGGTACGACGCTGAGTGACGTAAAATATGAATTTAAGATAGAGAGATATTTAGCCTTAGCGATCTAAACGAAAGTCGTAGATTTCGTTAAACCGAGAGCATGCATAAAAGGAACGCCCAAATCTGACTTCGTATGAGGAAGTTATGATTTTCTGAAGTTTCGACGTGGCAGTATACAGCCCGAATACTCGATTTGAGATCGAGCGGTTTTTAGTCGAAACAATCTAAATGAGAAACGAAGATCTCGTTGTTAGTAGCGAAACGATGACAAGTTAGGCGAGGACGGACGTCAGACGAAGAAGTTATGAATTTATAACGAAGTTTTTCTGTCCCGGCCTTCTAAAAATAAATAATAAAAATAAAAGTCAAAATTAGCCGACGGAGTCTAAATGAAAGTTGTAGAGTATGGTCTGACCTTCGCGTGGATATAAAGAACGTCGAAAACGGAGCTCGTATGCGAAAGTTACGCAATTTAGAAGTTTGACAAGTCAATTACGCCCCGCGTAATTTGTGTCCGCCCCGCGTACTCAGTCGGATGCAACTTGTCTGACCAATACTCGAGTGCCACCAGTCGACGCACACAGTGACGTCAAAGTACGCCCCGCGTAACCCGAGTACGCCCCGCGTAATTTGAGTACGCCCCGCGTAATCCCAGACCCAGCAGCCTATAAATAGAACTCGAATTCAGCCATTTTCTCTTGTTCAAACTCTTCCCTCTCTCTAAGTTTTGCCTCGTTTTGCGTGTCTTTTATGCCCCAAAGCCCCGGTATCATTCCCGAGCCCCGAAGTAAGATCCGAAGCCCCGAGGATCCCGAAGAGCGTTATTCCCGAGCCGAAACGCTGCCCACGAGGAGCCCGGTTTTGTGAAGATCTTCCAGATCTACGGAGAAACACCTCTTCTGCAAGCCGTAGTGCTGCCCGATCATCTTTTGATCAAGTGAGTGTGTAGTTATTTTCATTCCAACGCAATATTATGAAGTATTTCCTATAAAATACGTGTTATGTGTATATACTTGGTTGTTATACGTGTGAGTGTATATTCACTCTCTTTTATCTTATAGATCTGATGTATTCTCTATGAAATACGTGTTATGTGTGTATGCCTCATCTGTTATGTGGAATATGTATTGATTAAAACATGTTATACAGGTTTTTAAACTATGTATAAAAATGTATATTTTTATCTACTAATATGTTGGGTAGAACATGGGTAGATAATTGGTGTGTAATAAGCAGATGAGAGGCCTCGGTGTTATTGGTGTTATTCTAGTCATTCAGCAGAGTATGGATGACGACCACAGACTATTCTAGACTGTCCTGTGGAACACTAGCAGGCTCATTACCTGTAGGTGTTGTGAACGACGTGTTCACCGGTGTACTCTATCCCCCACATGGTTGCCTTTAGGACACTTATTGTTGAGGAAGCCCCTCTGCAGTAATGTCCGTCCCGATGAAAAAAATCCTGAAATAGGTTCCTTATAATAGACGTTATTTTTAGGAACGTAAGGTGAGGATAACGGGAATGGGTAATCGGGTTTATTGTTGATGGTTGAAATTAAATATAATTATTGTGGGTTGAAAACCCTATATGCTCACCAGGCTCCCAAGCCTGGCCCACTCAGTTGATTTATTTTACAGGAAGTGGCGCAAGAGCTTAAGATGGGCGAACATCAAGTTGTTTTGTTTACAAGTCTGTATATGTATATATTTGTTGAATGACTTGTAATGCTATCGTTTATGCTTTATGATCTGTATCGGAACATGACATCCCGACTTTTGAATATGAAATGAAATCATATGTCTTATGAAATGTTTTGATAAATATCTATTTTATCATGTTTTGTTTTTGGGAACAAATTCCGCATCTCTTTTAAAATTAAAAGGATTTACTCTGAAAATTATTTTAAAAAGCATAAATGAAATCGGTCTTTTCTGGCCGAAATTTTGGGGATGTCACAGTTTGAACCTTAGGAATCAATGTGAACATATCTAATATGGACACAAATTTTAACAAGGGTGAAGGGGTGACGAATTTAGAAGCTCAAGGTACCACTTCTACTACAACTTCATTGATTCCTATTTCACTTATTTTATCCTCTACCATCGAAACTTCACGCGTCGATACTTCCACTACCTTACCACCCTTTCATACACCCATTTCATCTTCATTACCTGCTTCAACCATATCAACCACTTATTCTAACATCATGAATCAACCCGTGACTTCCCTTTTCTCTTCTCAGTCAACCAAAGGTGAAACGTCAATTCCAGAAGACGATCATGATGCTGATGATGTGATGGTCTCTTTTATTGAGATTCAGTTTGATCCAGAGGAGGATAACATTCCTGATCAAATACATATGTCAGGAAAACAAATTAAGATTTTAAATCACAAACTAAATTCGTTGTTACAGATTCAGGATGATATTGGGGGTCGAAATACTATAATTGGGATTGAGGTTGATTAACTTCTTAAATCTCAAGTGAATCGATTAAAGCTGGCCATTGAGCAAATCAAGTCAAAACATGAAGAGAGTTTAAAGTGTCATATTGAAAATTTTCGTTATGAGGTTAAGGAACTTCGTTTAGTTGCTAAAGAACATCATCTACTTTTTATTGAAGAGGTCAAGAAAGTGCAGGAGTCTGTTAATCTAAACGTGAAGGCACTCAAGTTTGAAATGTCGAAGGAGGTGGCCAAGATTGAACATAATCATTCAATTCTTCATGATAAGATAGATGTTGTTGTTGACGCTATCAAGAAACTTGTGGAGCATTATATATCTTTTACTTCCAAGTTTCATGTCAATATTGATGTCGATTCGAAGGTCTTTGCTAAGATGGAAGAATTTTTGGGGAGCTTGAAGGAATCAATTTCGAAGATTGATACTTCTCATACATCTTTTGTTTCTCAGGAGTCACTATCATAGATGCTTTCTTCATTAGAAACAAATCTTAAAGCCGAACTTTCTCCTATTCTCAAACTTGAAAATCTGATGCCAACAGATGCCCCACCTGTCAAACTAATGGTGCAAGGGGGAGATAAGCGGGTTGGCTCATCGAACGATCTTGATCAAGGAAAGGTTTTAGGGAAGGTAATATCCACACAAATTCCAACATCACTTCCTATTCCTACATCAACAACTTCAACCACGGTGACTTTGAGGCCATTAACCAAAGGCATAGTCATAGGTGCTACTGTTCGGGGTTCGAGTTCAAAGCCAACATCTACGAAGCAAGATAAAGGTGATAGATGAAAGGGAATTGAGAAAGAGATTTCGGAGGAAGAGAAAAAGAAATCGAAAGATAGAGGCAGATTAAAAGTATTTTGAGACAAAGGCAAGGTGATCCACCAGGTCTTGATAAACGTGATTTAAATAAGCAATTTTGTTACAAGACAATCGAACAAATTGTTTTTCTAGAAAAATGTACGATTTTGAAAAGCTTCCGAAAAAGATCTATGAGATCAAGAATACTGATTTTAATCAGCTGGATTTTCCCGTCAATCATATGCTGTTTATCTCGACTCAGTATCAGTTGGTGGATAAGTTCGATGATAAGAAATAATACAAGAGATTAAAGTTGAGATTTCATGCCGTTATTGGAAAGAAGGAAGAGGAAGTCTGGTCCTTGGTGAAAATTATCAAAGTACTGAATATTTCAAAAGAAATCTTTTTCGAAGGTTTGTTGTAGAACTTTATATTCTATGTGGTCAGAGAGAACAATGTAGCTTTTGACTTCTCAGTGGCGGATTTTCCTCTCATGAATTTGAATGATCTCATCACTGTTGTGAAGACACTGACTACTATTGATGTGTTAAAACTTCAAGTTAACAACAAAGAAGATTTCTTGATAGGTTTTACTCATATAAAACTGTTCATAGACAATTATTATGATTGTCTATCTTTGATAGATGTAGAACTTGCTTTGGCAATGAATAGAACAGTGACAGTGCATCAGTCGATGTTGAAAGGTCAAGGTAGTCTCAAGAATTTTGAGGATGGGGAGATTTGTCTTAAACCTTTGGGTGTTGTATTCGTTGAGAAGAACACAAATCAAAAAATTACGAAGTTTTTATTTCAAGCTGAAGATGTGGAGAAGTATACGAACTCTCAGTATACAAATCTTCTTGTTCGTCTTAACAATTGCAAAAGGAATACAACTAGAGATAAGGCTAATATCTAAAAGTCGATTATCTGGTATATTGAGATTCGCAGAGTACTTTATCAAGCAACGAAGATGTTAGTAACATAGATTCGACACTTCTCACAAAGGGGGAGATTGTAGAGTTCGAAGTATGTTGTGAGGTGTTGAAGTTCCATTTGGCTTGTCTAGATTCAAAGTCTGTATTTGGTATTCGAAGATGTGTATTACATAAGACACTGTTTAGAGTTCAAAGCTTACGTGTCTAGTCCTTATGTATTTTTTGTATGCTTCTGTTAATTACTATAAATAGGGGTAGATATAGGAGTGAGAGTAACTCAGTGAACATTTGTGAACTTTACTCTTTCTAACTCTTGTACTTTTTTAGAAGAAATAAAAGAGTCAAACATATCATATTTACATTTGGTGTTCTTGATTCTTTTTGTACTCTGATTTCATTCTTTACACTCGATTCATACAAACTACACACGCGACATTCCAAGATGACATGCCGAGGCCTTTTAAGTTCATTCATGTGTGAGAAGTTGTCAAAAGAAGTATTAAGTGGAGGGAACTTGCAACACATGAAGACATTGCTAATCTACCAAAAAGAAGTAGGACACTTCATATTCGAGCTCACAACATATGTCATCGGATGGTCACATAGGCGTTGATCTTAATCATGATAACGACCACATCGAAGAAATATGTCTGCCTCCTCATCCCATGGGATGAGACAAAGCAAAAGCTTGAGCTAAAGGAAAAGGAAAAACGACGTCTTCAAATTCATCGGTCGGAACCTAGCGTAGCACAATTGAATACAACTTTGGAGAAGCATATGACCAAAACCATCTGACTCACATAATATTCGTTGTTAATGCCAGACGTGAAACACCTCGACCCCGAATATCAAAGACGGCTAAAACGGTGAAGATGTCGATTCGAGAAAAATATAATCTAAAACATAAATGAAATTTCAATGTTATGTTTTTTTCTAAGTTTCTTAATGTAATTTTTGACTTCATGTTTTCTTTTTAAGGTTTTTAATGTAATTTTTAATTTCATGTTATTTTTATTTATATGATTTTTAAAATATACTTTTTAATTTTAGTACGGTTTATATTAAAAAAAGTTCATTTTTTTATTTAAATTAAAAAAAATCATATGTAAAACAATTACCACACCCTAGTTTATAGATAAAATTTGTGAAAAATATAAAAGTTGATGTGTCGTCTATGTTTCACAGATTACGACAAAAACAAAATAACTAATAGCCTAATGGGACATAACAAAACAATAAAAGTATCAATAGCCTAACGGGACGTAACAAAACATTAAAACTATCAAGTTATTCTTATCCAATTATAATCACCCGGTCTAAAATCAAAATATATGATATAAAATCTAAATTTTCAAAATCAATAAATATATATATATATATATATATATATATATATATATATATATATATATATATATATATATATCATAAGTACGAAAAACCATACCCAAATTGAGTCACATATATCAATGTTACCAATAAGTTTTATTATTTAACGGTTCTGCAAAATATCAAGAAAACAAAATTTTAAGACAATAAAATTAATAATGATGAATAACGACTCTTGAAAACAATAAAGCAATATCACACACGTGACACATATACAAAAACGTGTATGAAACCTCTAATAAATTATCTTTATAGTTTCATGTAGACAAATATTGTTTGTTATGGATGTAGTCTTTAAAAGAATTGGTTTTACCATACAAAAAGGCTTAACGGCATAACTTGTTGCCCGTTTGTCTTCTCATTCGTTGTATGATGATAATTAAAATAATTTTCTATTTGAACCGTATAAATAAAGTTAATGAAAAAAAAATGATTCATTTATCAGTTTAAAAAAAATTGAATAAGAAGATCTAGTAATCCGATCTAAATGATGATTGTTCTAATTAAGTGAAGTTGTCTTCAAGTTGATGTTTGCCTACAACAACTTGTCCTTTAATACCCTAATGATGATAGACAACACATTGATGCATCAAAAATAAGCTCTACCGATGTGATTACTAACAATGATGGATCTCTTTGTTCAAATGAATTTTGAAAACAGTAAAATGAATTTAGAAACATCATCAATTTTATTAAAATAGATTTAAATTCGAATATTCTCAATTGTTAATGTTTAGATCACAATCAAGTAATAAATGACAATAGGTAAGTAAATTAGCAAAGTAGAAGACAAAGCTAAGCTTAAAACATCAAACAAACATTTCTAATAAGTTTGATTTTTAGATTGAGAATCTCTTCAAATCTCTAATTTGAATTCTAAAAGAAAATTGGAGATGAATTCTATCTACCCAGGTAGTCAGGTTTCAAGCTCACATCTATCACCAAAGCTTCAAATGACACTTCAGTACCTTCTCGAGATCATGTAATAGCCATGGATCCTCTTTATTCATCTCCATATAATTATCTTTCTAACCCTACATCAGAATAATTATATCCATTTTGATCCATGATAGGTTAACTTCATTAGGTCTTGGTTATTTACTATTTATTTATTTAATTTTATCAAAACTTTTAATTTCACCCTAAATTAAATTCTTACAACTAATTAACTTCATAAAATAAACCAAAAAACACACACACATATATATATATATATATATATATATATATATATATATATATATATCAAATATACAAACATATTAACTAGTGTTATACCCGTCCGATGTTGAAATCCTAAGTCGTGTAGGACTTGGAGTCCAAGAATCTTGGAGCTTAAGCAGGATAGGTTTAAGTTTCCTTATCTAATTCTACAAGCCGTTAGTTTATATATATATATATATATATATATATATATATATATATATATCTTTACTACTTATAAAAGAAATCTAACTATTTCTATAAATAGATTGAATATAATAATATTATTTTTTTAAGACGTACAAACGATTAAGCTAATATTACAAACAACCATTAATAAAATAATATTAAATTTTAAATTTGTTTTGATTCCTTATATTTCTCAGCAAAATCCTAATTTCATGGTCATTCAAAATTTAAAACCTTTTCATCCTAATACGCTTCAACAAATATCCTTTAAATGTTGCATTTGCAGCTGATTAAAATATCTCATAGCAGACGTGTGTTTGTTCTCTCCACCTTATAAACCCTGCTATAAATCCCACTGCCATGAAGTATTTCCCTTATAAACCCTAATCGTTTTTCTCCCTCTCTTAGACGAAGACAATGTGTTTTTTTTAAGAAAAAAAGTTTGAAAATATTCCAATTTCTCAAAAAAATTTACCCCAAATGCGAAACTGGGTAAAATTTTCCATTTTGCGAAGACTACAGGGATGCGAAATGAAAATTCTGCACTTTTGTCTTTTTATGACCCCATTTTGCGAAGTTGGACCACTTATATTATTTCTTGAAAAGATCAGGTGCCAAATGCGAAACTCTAAGCTTTCTTCCCCAATTCGCATTTATACATTAAAAACTTCGCATTTTCATTCAAATTCTTCGCATCTTGCATCCATCCGTCTTTGAGTTCATTCGCATTTCATCGCATTAACTGAGAAATTAATCAGTTGTCTCATATTCGCATTTCAGTTGTTTGAGAAACCCAGATACGAAGCCAAATGCGAAACCCACTGATTTCAAATGCGAACCAACCAAAAATCATCAACCACGTACTTGTGTCACCAAATGCGAACTGAATATCACCATTAAATTCTCCTCGCATTCCATAGATGCGAACACAATCCAGATCTCCGACTCCAAGCTTGCGAAATCAAAATCAATTAACCTCAAACAAATCGTGAACTTCTTATGCGAACTGTTTTGACCCACAAAACCAAATGCGAACTCAATTGATGTCATATGCGAACTGATTTCATAGATGCGAACACAATTGATTTCATATGCGAATCCACATCCATCGATATGAAACCAATACCAGTTGCAAGCAATTAGTAGCAACCATCGATCCTCTAATTTTCAATTACTCAGCCTTCGCTTTTCATACAACCCGTCGACCCTGAAAAATCGATAAACACCAAATGTCTCATTTTTAGATCGATTTTCTGATTAAATGTCATATTT